GCTGCGCCAGCCTGTTCTCCATCAATGGTCGTCTGCCAACGCTCACCATTGGTGGAAAAAAGGCAGGCGCCGCGCCAAGTCCTTTCCACCCCCTCCCCTTTCAACGCCCCAGCGTCCGCTGCGAACAAGACTGTAAAGTGGCTAACCAATAGTTTGCTGCTGCGCTGCTGAATGAGTTTGTATCTGAAATTTTGAGAAGAATGGGCCGGTTTTTCAGGTGACGGGAATAGCTATCCTATTTCAAGGCCCCATTAAAGGCGACGACAGCTGACTCGATGCCGCTGTCATGCAGTCAAAGCTAAACAAAACATAAATAGAATTAATTTGTTCACAGGAGTAGCAGCAACTAGAATTAACCAGTAAATGTGCCACGATTTTAATGATTTTGCCATCTTTATCTGCTGGTGTCACCTTCTACCACCAACCACCAATTTCTTTGTTTCACTTGGTGGAACAAACATCACCTCTCTGTTGTTGTGACTAGCGCTATGAATATTATGAGCCTCCCCGTCTTGTGCCCTTTATCTGATCTTATCAGCTGTTATGAACTCCTGCCACCACGCAATAGTATCTCCGTGTTGCCCCTTTATTACTTCTTGGACTTAAGTTCCCACAGTTATTGCGGCGAGTCCTATAAATTTGTGACAAGCAGACAAACGCACACAGGCTCGTATGTACTTAGCAATTATATATAGTAGGAATTATAGCAGCAGTTTTAGTGTCCGTAGCTGATTGGGTAGTAATTTACCGACCTCGAGAAATAGACGGCTTCTGAGTCTGGGTGGATTCACAGTTTCAAACTTCACTTCTTTACCACAACACTGCCTTTACCCTGAGCGCTTCTTAGGGGAATTTTTTTCAAAAAAGGCAGCAAAACCAGCCCCCGGTGCGACATACATACCTCGCCTATCCAATTACGTCTTCCTGGATTCCTTTCATCATCCCACCATTTCTGCTTTTTTGTTCATAAAAGTTCTTCCACTTCCTCCTTAGAAAATGCCGTAAAGCAGAGGGAGTGGGGTGGGGGAGGGACGGAGGATGGATATATAGCGCTGTTAAGAAAGGATAAACCGAGAACCGAGAACATTTCTCAAAAGCGAGTACGCCCCGCTCTCTCCATTGACAGCCAAGTATGATATCCCTCGCTGGAGGTCTGCAACTTATGACGTGCTTTGTTCACACTTCATTCGGGACCAAGTTGCTTGAGAAGTAGAGAGCAAAGGAAAATATGGTTCTTACCACTCACTCCGTAAGAGAAAGCAGGCGTAGTTCGCCTCGGAGCGAGCAGTTTGATAGTTTCCGTCAATGTGGAGATGAAGTGAGCTCTCGTCGAGCTAATACAACCATACCAACACTCCATATCCCGAAGATGGAGGTCCGTGGCTGGGCACTTCAATCAAACTTGGCGGCACACCAAATTACTGCTGAAAGGGATTTGCAGTTCTGCGAACATCTCTCTCTTCTTTTTTTCCTTCTTCTTCTTATTTTTTTTTTCTTTTCTTCTTCTTCTTCTTTTTCTTCCTTAATTCAAGCTCCTATCAGAAACTTCTCTTCAAGGAAATGAAATCGTCTTCTCCAACTTTAACTCTTTTTCCTAGCCCTTCTCGTATTATCTGATAAGTTTTTCATCTCTGATGACTGATCTATGAATATGAGCTTTTACTACATCAAAAGAAAGACTTGATCTGATGTGGGTTTCGGTTCGGTTTTGTTTGCGTTTTCTTTCTTTTCAATTACTGTATTTTGTATTTTCCGGCCATTCTTCTTCACCTAGGCCTCTGGGCTAATGCCGTTTGGACTCCAGAAATTTCGTTTTCGAGCTCATTTTCAAATTGCCTACCAAATCCACTAAAAACTTGTATATAGGGGTAATTCAACATCCTGATTACGAGTATGACACTCATTCTTGGCGCTGGCGCCAAGAGAGGACACCTACGATTAGGCTCAGCAGAGCGCAGGTAACCGTAGTGTCATCCATTAGCGCCAGCGCCAAAAATGAATGTCATATTCGTGATCAGGATGTTGAATTACCCCTATATACAAGTTTTTAGCGGATTTGGTGATCTTGCCACTTTTAAAATGAGCTCGAAGACGAAATTTCTGGAGTCCAAACGGCATTAGCCAGGCCTCTGTCACGCCTACATATCGTATTGCTACACAAGTCATTTACTGCTTTTGTCAAGGGCACCATTTGGTAGTGAGTTACCGATATCTCACAAGGCCGCTGAACCTACTCATCTTTGTGGTCATTGTTAACTGCTTTGTATCAGATTGTTTATTTAATAGACTTCTACACATGCAAGTTGTTGTGTAGGCCAGATGCAGTCCACTTCGCTGGGATGCTTGGGCGTGTCAGGGGGGGGGGGTGTGGCTGGGTTTGGCTCAACACCTCCGTTGTCCACCAATTATTGAAGCGAGCAGCGACCGCAATTAATGAAAAACGCGCTGTCACTGCGCCAAATCGAGCCCCACCCTCTGACATGCCCAGAATCTGCAGCGAACAAAACTATAGTACACAAGTGATTCTGAAGTCGTACGATACATGGAGCACACCGTCGGAGGTGGTGGACCCTGACATCTGAAGTTTATCAATTCTTTTTGTCTTATTGATTAAGTTCTCTTTTTCTTTCTAAGGTGCCCCTTCGTGTGTCTTCCCACCAACGTTTATCTTAGTGGTCCCGTTGCCATCAATCCTTTTAAGCGCGTTATTTTGCTTTCTCCTTTCTGACACCAATTGATTCTGTATCCTCCCTCTAGCCTCAAAGTACCCATTATTTTTATTTGATGGTGTTCAATAGGCTAGTAATATCACAATCTGTGTCCCTGGTTCTAAGGAATAAATTCTGCAAGAAGAGCATGTTTTTATTTGTCATCTGGGATACCAGCTATCAGCCTTCAGGTGCAGTTGTGCATTACACAGTTGATCCCTCTGATTTCTAGGAACAACCGAAAAAAGTAGCGAAAGTCCCGAAACCGGAGCAAGGCTGTCAGTGTGCGAAAAGCAAAAAACAGTGTGTGAAGAAGGAATGTCCTTGCCGGGCCGTCTACGAATTTTGCTCCATAAGGTGAGCTACTTCCTATTTCCTTTTTTGTTTATTTTGGTTTTATTATTTTTGCTGAATGTGTTTTAGCTTTGTGATTACTGCTCAAACCATTATCTCCTCGAAAAGATTCGCGAATATCTGATGGAAAAAAATTCCGTTTTTGCAAAAGTAAGGGGCGATGGGGTTGAACCCGTCATTACGCATAGAAACCTCGAGCAAGCCTCATACTTGCGTCTCGTCTTGCATGGCTCGTCAGTGTATTCTCTTTTCCTCGTACTTTTTATCACTCCCCCATTCGTAGTCTACCACGCCAAAAACGGAGCTTTTTAGCGCTTTCACTCGTGTTATACCAGCTTGTGTGTTTGGCGCTGCTTAGTCAAGCAGATCTTCTATATTCATATTTCGTCTCTTACGAATTCATATTTTTCATATTTTTATATTTCGTCTTTCACTACCCCTGACTTGCAGTTGTGGAATGTGTCGTTGAATGTCTCAGTGCTTTGGACTTAGCATTTGAGTATTCGCCATTTATTACTAACTGGTGTATGAAAGTGACATTGTGGCTAGAGGAGCAGCATCAGGCGTAATTATTTCGCGGAACGCGGGAAGCGTGCGAAAGGGCGTGCAGCCGTGACTTGCCTTTTTCGACCAGTGGACTAGCTCAGGACGATATCGTTTTGATCTGAAATCCTTGGCCCTTTGCGTTGCGCCCCACACATACATCTCAAAATGTTGCCGCCGGGTAATCAGGATGCTGTCATAGCTATCACGGTTGACGGCGGATTCAGCCACCAATGTTATTTGCCCCTTCTTTACTACAATTTGTACTAATAGTAAGAAATTCTAAACTGCTTAGAGTAGTGGATCACCTCGTAGGTCAAATTTGCATTCTAAGGCTTCCGCGAATGACACTGGAACTAAAATGCCGAGGAAATTGATCCAAGCTGAACTTCATCCGCATAGCTCAGTGAAATCTCTTACTGCTTGTATTCTCTCAGACTCTACGAGACTAGCTGACGAAACGAAGCGTTCCTCTTAATTAGCACGGTAGTGAGAACCAGTGAGCTGAGGTGTGTAATATAAATAATTGATCATGAAAACGGGAACAACTGTCAAATCGTGCGGATCATAAAATTTGAGCGCAGTCTCAGAGGGACATAGAGGGAGTGAGAAAATAATGTAATAGAGGGTATCTAGCCTCCACAGTATCCAACAAGGAGAATTGAATTCCTACGAAGTATTCGTTGCTGATGGTCGAAAGTTTTTTGTTTGCAGCTTCATTTTTCCTTTAAATGTCTGCGGATCCAAATTGAAATTACTTGACGCCGCGGAACTAGTTTTGGAAGCTTTGAAGCAGCCTCGCACAGACACGTAGATTAGCATTCTCTCAGAGAGCCCCAGGGAAAAGCCTACTAGATTCCGTGATTAGTTTCAACGTAAAGGGAAAGGAACTCACAACAGCGGCGTTGGTTTGACAGGTGGCTGCAGGGAGTAGGAGAGATGGTAAGAGAAGGGAAGTAAAAGAAGTGAAACGCCACTGTTATCTATTTTTCGGCGCAGTTTGCTTGGGGTGGGGGTAGCTCAGCGAAGCCTGTACACGCCACCTTTTGGGTACTTGCAAATACTTGTAAGCGAAGTGGCTCACGGTGCCATTTCGCAGCTTCACAAGAGTTTACAGCCTAAGTGCTCTTATTTATTTGTTAGTGCTAGTTAGAATTCAAAGCAAAAAGACCTAGACAAAGTGGAAAATGCCCCTAACCGCACGCCGAACAGCGCCCCTTTTCTTCAAAGATGTCTGGCTTTTGGGAACTGGACCAATAGGTTCTGCTACACGAGAGGTTCATCGTGCCCCAGTTCCTTCAGCATCATCATAATATGCATTATATAAATAACAAAAATTTATGGGACTGTTGCATTAAGTTCCATTCGTGACCGCACGGAATCGCCTGTTGAAAAATGCACAAGTCCATGAACGAGTTGCGAAAATGGAGGTAAAAGGGATTTGGCGATGTAAGGAGTAGGAGGGGATGTGTTACTCATGATAGGACTTCGCTGAGGCTGTACATTTGCACTGTTAGATTCCTGTTCAAACATTTTACAATACCCAAATAGAAATTTATGTGCTCCACGTCCCCTCCAGGAATGCTCCCCGTCCCTTCCAGGGCTCTATGTGCGAACACTTGGAGATTCAGTGCTTCAGAGCCCCATCTGTCTCTGAATAATGTCTGTCGCTTTGCTCGTTTTCATGTATACGGTACAGCCCTAGGTTGTTGTGTCCCATTTTTTCTACATTGGTAGTTAGTCGGACCTTCTATGACCTTCGAGCAAGGGGTGGTATTGAGGATAAATTTTTCACCGCTCCCCCTTGAACGTGTATTTGTCTTGTTTATTCCTGCCATGAGTACACATTTCCTGGCTGAACTTTGCCGGGCTGGTTGATCTCTGTGGGAATCTCAGCACCGCCTGTACAACCTGCGTTTCCCATTTACCCGCACGCTCAAGCTGCCAAGTTAGGGAAATGGTTTGTGCGTGGATATATTTATTCAATTTTCGTCTAATTACAATGGGTTCAAAGTAACGTGGGTTTCCCGAAATCCCTATGAAAAACCCAAATCTCAATGGCGAATAAATAGGTAATTAAGTAGACAAATAAGTGGATAGAAGTGTCTGTCGAGTTGTGAGCCCGGGTAAAATCCAGTTCAAGAAAATAATTTTGATAATAAAAGTAGAACATTTTCAGTTGTAAGTGCTGTGGTGACTGCACGAATGGTGCGGCGAAGTTCAGCGTACCGAAGCACGTACAGAACTGCTTTCTGGATCACAAGCACGAGAGCAGCGGACTTATTGTCTCTTTATTAGGTGAGCTCATCTATGCACTCCGAAACCAGTTTTCAAGCTATTTGTAACATTTAAGACTCAGAATTTAACATTTAAGACTCAGAATTTAATAAAGTGTAACTTATAGCGCCCCGAAAGTCAATGAAGAAAAGTGACTTTTTTTGGCCCCCCTGTATTTGTAGAGAGTTCGATCTTATTGAGCCTGAGCATGAATAAAGCCCTAGACTGCCTTCAAGGGCTATCTTTGCGCTTTCTCATCGTGAATGTAAATGCAGTGGCAAGACTTAGTAAAGTAATACTTCACTGTTTCTTGTTTCAGGTGAAAATTATATTTATCGAGGAGATTTCTATCACGAATCGAAAGGCGAGCCACATGTTGAAGAGCAATTAGTGGCGAACATCTATGACCTCACCAAATACAATGTAATTTTTTATCAGTAATTTTGTTTAGGTACCTGATACAGGGCACAGCATCAGTATGGGTGAAATGGGGGTGTCAATAACCAGGGCACTTCCTGCCAGCGGGGAAAGAGCACGACCCTTCTCTCACCCTACCCCCTCCCAAACTGGCTCCTCTGGCCTCCTGTACGAGTTCCATTACTAAGTTCTTATCACATTTGTAGAAAATTTTCCAGTTTTATCTCCAAATACTGCCGGGAGGAGATTGCCACCAAACAACGTATTTTCAATCATGTACTCGAATTTCGACTGCGCCACCAACTATGGAAGCGTTTATGTACTAATTCCCCTTTCACAGAGCCGCGAGCACGACCCCCCCCCCCCCTTTTTCAAATAAGATTCTCTCAACGTTGTGGATAACACACGTGAAACAGGAAAGAGCAACTATCGAGAAAGGTTTTCTCAGTCCAGATACAACCTCCTTTCTACCGACCAGATAGACCGCCGCCGCTGTGGATCCCCAATGTAGGTCCTGCCGTGGTAAGTACGACCACTTCCAAAATTTCCTTCTCCGATGACCCTCTCATAGGCTACTTCAGTCGTTATCATCGTAATCAGTCAGGGCGGTGTCAGGAAGGGAGGAGTGAGCCCGACCCCGGCTAGGGTGGCTTTTCAGCCAATAAATCGACTAGTGGTGGATTCAGGAAGAGCCAGGGGTAGAAAGCGCCACGGGTCATCCATGTCACTTGACACCTCCCCGACTGATTGCAACGATATCACCACTCTTAACGAATTTCCTTGAATTCTTGAATTTATACACTTCCAACCAGCCAGGATGAAAAGGGGAAGGAAAACATCGGGAGAATATTACGTCGACCAAATACGACCCCCCTACCCCAGCAACAAATTCACCCCCCCCCCCCCCTTTCACCTCGATGTGTTTCGCAACGTTGCTGTACCCTGGCTTAGTAGCTCACTTCTGTCGCGTTCTGTCATGGTCCCTCGAAAAGTAATACTCCATCAAATCACCCACTACACATGATTTGCTACAACTGTTTGTTTGTTTGTGTTTGTTTGTTTGTTTGTTTGTCTGTCCGGAAATTCGGTTCTACCAGAAGAACAACTTGGAGAGGTGGGGTCAAGGTCGGGATGGGTAGGGCATGGGAAAAGATGTAAATATCACCTCGGCTCTACCAGAAGAATAACCTGGAGAAGATGTAAATAGCACCCGCAACCCATGGTAAGCCCCGCCCACAGTGGGCGGGGCGTGCGCCAAATGTTAGCGATGTCACTGAAAAAGTTCATAATTGGCTCCAGAGCAGTCCCGAGATAGGGAAATCTATTATGAGCCACTCCTGAACTCGCCCCACATTTCTGAACGCAATGGAAGCGGGCTGACCTAACTGCACTTGGTTTTTACATTTATGAACGAGCTGACTCACGCTGACTTCCATCTCTGTAATTTCAGGTAGAATTACACGAAATAGTCATATTCGTCTCGAAGTCGCCATGTTTTCATCAAGACTGCGATCCCAAATGTGAAGTGGTCGACGAGTGCAAGAGCAACAAGGCTTGTGCCAAATTGCTGGGACTTCTGCTGAGTAAGGTGAGGAGGTTTTTCATCGAAGTTCTCATGTACTTATGTAATGGAAAAGATGGTTACGTAATTCGTAGAACTTCTATTTTGAGCTGCACCATTAGAGGAGCTTAATTGGGAGCTTCATCTCACGTATTAGACGTATTATCTTGAAAGTGGCTTTCAGAGCGATTTCATAGCAATCTAGGGCATAGCACGGATGATTGCCAGTTTTAGGGTCTATGATTCCATTTCATTGGAAGTCAGGCCTTCATTTAGCTTTAGAAATCTGAGTCTCTTGCATTTTATGAATTGGACAAAAAGTGAACGGAATGCTCATAAAAGCGTGGGTGCCGTGCATTGACGCTGTCGGGAGTTTTTTCCAAACGCTATCGTTTCCTCTTGTTGCCCATTGCCATGACGTATGTCTCCATGCCCTTTTTAACTGCGTTCTCACGTCTCGTTGTTGGAGATGTATGGCATGTGAGACGGAGGGGACATTTTCTATATCCATCCCGCCACATGTGGATTCAGAATAGGCTTCTCTCAGTGAGTAGGAT